TGTAACTTTCTGAGTGTTGCTCTCCAGAGACCCTGCACCTCCCAATGCCATTGAAACACTTAATAATGCTGAACTATGGGAAACTAGCAGTGATATGAATGCATCGTCTACCCAGAAATGAAACTTTATTTTGTCTTTAGAATGCAATTGATTATTACTCTCTGGATGTTTACCATTTTGCATAAGTAAATGCCTTTTGTTTTCCTGGTTACCTATTTTTGTATGCCCCTTAAATTCTCCTTTGAATTGGTAGCAATATTTTACCGATTGGACTTGCTAGTTTATCATGAACCTCTTGCATGTATTAATTTTGTATTTGCATGCAAAATGATTTTATCTCTTTCAAAAAATTGCCCTTTACCATGAGGACATTTTAAAGATTTATATATTTTTATTTTATGTATGTATATGAGTGCCTGCATATATGTATTTGTACCACATGCTTGTCTGGTGCCCAAGGAGGCTGGAAGAAGGTGTTGGATCCCCTGAAACTGGAGTATTTATATTGTTGTGAGGCACTGTGTGGATGCTGGGACCAGACTCTGATCCTCTGGAAGTGCAGCCTATGCTCTTAATCTCAGAACCCTTTCTCCAGTTCCCAGAAACAAAGGGCCAGTTTAAGTGATCAATGCCTATCAAGTAGTTAGGGTTCTGGAATGTTGCTATTAATCTGACCATTTTGGACTGAAATCCTCATTATTCAGTTCTCTGAATAGAATTTGGGGGGTTATGTATCATTTTTCAATAATGTTACTACACTACACTCCTTTAGGTAATTCGATGAATTTGAGGAGTGGAATCTTAAAAGTGTTATGAGCTCACATTAAATGGTCTGTTAAATATTGGAAACAAAATCCATCTGGTTTAGGCTGCCATGGAAATCCTTGAGCATCAAGTATTGCCCTTTGCATGATATAGGACTGAGTTCTAGTATTTTTAAATTATAAAGAAACACATTATAGCTTTCTGATGGTATCCTCAGGGTTTGATAGCAACAGTATCTACAGAACGTTGGAATTTTTTAGTACTGTAGAGGTGGCAGGTAGGAGGAAATAATCACAGGTAAAGCATCTAGTGTATTATGTCCAACTTTACAGGTAGAAAACAAGTAGACCCCTCTTTCTTGTACTAACCACTGTTCTCACGCCACAACTGACAACCTTGCTGCATTGAAATTCATGTCATACGTCATAGCATTATTATTTTGCTAGTATGATGAGAAATAACTTAAATTTCATATATAGAGGCTAGGATATTCTTTGTGGGATGTGGAAATAAGGAATATAAATATCTGGGAGCCAAAGAAATATGAAAGTCATTATGCAAATACATGACCAGTCTGGGCTGTCCTCCGTAGAGACCACAGAGATACTCTTTCAAGTAAAATAAAAACAAACACAAAACCAAGATTCCCACGCTGTAATTCTTACATGACAAAAAAAATCATGAAAACCAATTTTTGCGGTAGATCATGGATGTTAACTTCAAAGGTAGTTACAGAACGAGGCAGTGTCCCCACACAGCAGGGACTGAAGTGAGCCAGACACAAGCTAGGAATGCTGGCTGCCAACCAATGCTGGAAAAAGGTAGGGATGGATTTTCTCCTCCTGATTCCTCAGGAAGTACCACCTGGCAACACTGTCACAGGGTGACAGGAGAGTCCTTGTCTCTATCCAGATAAAAGCTGTAGAGAGGCAAGAAGCAAGTGGTGACTTTAGTGTTGATGGCCCCAAGTTCCAGAGGCTCCCAAGACAAGCTTCTAGATCCAGAGGCTTATAGCTCTAAGCCTTGGATTAAAGAGGCTTATGGCTTCAAGCTTTCGGAGCTGGAGGCTTATTGATCTTCGTGGTCAAGTTGAGATGTTTTGTTCTGGGCTCAGAGTGCTAGTACCTGCCGGCTAGAGTTGCAGTCCCTGGACTCTGGCTGTCCTGGCATCTTCAACCTTTGGTAGTGTTCTGAGACTCCTCTATCCACCAGGACCTGTTGTACTCATAGCCTTAGTTCCAGTCTTTGACTCTTAATGACCTATTTGTTCCTGTAGCCTTAGCTTCTCAGGGTCTCTGCCTTCAGCTGCTCTCTGGAGCTCTTCAATTGTCTTCTAAACTTACAGCTTAGAGTTTTGGGTACAGGATACTCAACTCTTTCTGGCTGTCTGTTCTCATTGCCACTGCTGCTGCTAAGGTTGGAGACCCCCAAGGTCTTGTCTGCTCCTTGAATAGCCACCCAGTATGTCCCACCCAAGACAAAGGCACGTGTGCAAAGAGACATTTGGGAGAAGCTTTTATTGGCCTAATGTTGAGTACCAGTGTATAGTGCACAGGAGATAAGGGTCCCAGACAGACCCAAAAGGGATGCAAAATGGCCAGGAGAAGGAAAGTACAGCACAGTAGGGCTCAGTTATAATTCCGCCAGGTAAAGACTTAGATTCAGCCAGACCACACAAAGCTTGAATAGGAATGGTCATCCTGAAACCTCAGACAGGTACAGCCTCCTTTCTGTCAACCAAAAGCTTTTTTTTTTCTCAGTCTCGACTGGAAGTGTTCTTGCTGGTCCGTGACTTTCACAGGACCATGACTGATAAGAACTGGCACTAGCAGCAGTGTCATGTGGTGGTCACCAAAGTTTGTCACGTTGAAATTCTCAGATTAAGAACGCAATTCTCAGAGGACAAGAGATAGTGTTTCCTGGAGATAAATATGAGTGACCATAACCTAGGAACACATCATTACCCCGTTTCATGTTATGGTGGGGTAACAGTTTGTTGAAACTTTTATAGTATCAGAACAAAGGGGATTATAAAGCAGGGCACTTATGGTTTACCGGTGGAAACTTTAGGCAACCACAATAAAATGGGGGTAAACTCTGCAATAGCCTCTAGGTGTTTTGTGACAGCATTTTCACCCATTGGTTGGCTGGAAATGATGAGTCTCTTTTTGTATTCCAAAGGGTTTACCCTTAGATGTGGGGTCAGATACAGAGGAGGACAATAGGTGTCTGTGAAGGGTTAAAGATCCATTAAGGCAGTTTGGCTCATGAGTTACATTATTCCTCCTTCCCACACCCTTGAAGTTCTCACCAGCTCATAAAGGGTCAGAAGCAAAAGGGATGGTCTTTTCAGGAACTCTCACAGATTCTCCATGCTTGCTCCAGTGGGAGCAGTTGTGCCTGGAGCAAGATGGCCTGAAGTGAAAGCGGCAATCCACCTGTGCTTACAATGCTGTTTGCCATTGGAGTGTTGTTCATGGAGAGCATGGAGCATTGAAAAGTTGCCAAAGGTGGGCTGCCTGGCCGGCAGCCACCTGCTTCATACAGCCCCCATGAGGGACCAGCTGGCAGCTCTCACTTAAGGGCTGAGTAGTCAAGACAAGAAAGGGTTGTTCTTCCACAGCTAAAAAGAAAACTCCACAACATGGAAGGATGCTCTCATGACTTAGAAAATTAACCTTAGATGTGTACAATCAGTAGTCAAGACAGAACTATGTCCACCTGATGTGTCTGGCATTGGTGAGACCCGGGATGACTGTCCTGTGACTTTTGCCTACAGAGTTACGGGAAAATACATTATGGCATGGTGATTTATTACTACTGCTGCCATGGGAAACTACTGAAGGTTTTTAAATCTGGATCTGAGGAAATTGAGCTAAGCAAAAACCTGAACAAGGGGAGGTGGCTTTGGAATTGTGTGATGGACCAAACCTGGGGGAATTTTGAGTAGAAAAGCCTAGACTGTCTTAAGATGATGATTGGTAGAGATGACATGTAAAATACTCTCAGTGAATGCTCAGTACCAAGAAATGTAGTAGAAAATAAGTGCATTGCTTTATACAACATGTAACTTGCCATAGGTAGAATATTATTAGAACTATTAACAGCCGTGTTGGTGAGGGCTAAGGAAAGAAAATTAGGAACATTCTATTGAGGACTGTCAAAAGTGTGGCCTGGTTTATTCTTATTGCTTACAGTAAAGAAAGAAAGGAGGAAGGAAGGAAGGAAGGAAAAGAAAGGAAGGAAGAAAAGATATAAGTAATGAGAACTGTTAGCATAGGAGCCCAGGACTGATGATTTGGGGGAATTCTTAGCACATTCAGATTGAAACAGATTCTAGAAGAGGAGACTACCAGCCATGACTCCCAATTTCCCTGTGACGATGTTACTTGATAGTTCTATTCTTGCCTGTCCTTCATATAACAAGGGAGGCTAACTTTTGGGGCACTGACTTGTATCAACCAGTTAAGGATGGGGCTATAGGCTAGTTGTAGAGTGCTTGCCCATGAGCTATGAGGCCATGAATCTAGTTTCTAGGGTTAGGGTATTGAAATGAAACCATTACAGGCCAACTTGGAATTCCTCTCGTTGTTGAGATGCTCCTATGACATTTTGCCTGATTCCTCAGTTCAGACATTCCATGTACAGAAAGAGGAAGTCACCATGAGAATTCCAGAAGCCAGAGACAAAGTGGAATCTTAATTATGCAATTATAATAAATGATCTGTTTTTCTATATTGAAGGGTGCCTGTCTGCTGAGGGGGCTGTGACTTAAGGCAGAGAGTGGCTTTAAAAGTCATGCTGTTTAGTAGTTTGGATGATTCGTTATTATGCCTTCTGTTAAGTTTTAAGAAGAGTGAGAATTAGGTCAATGGAAGTGGTTGGCTTCTTCAAAGCACCTGAGACAGTGACAGCTGTTCACTTCCTAACGTCATTTTTTTCTTGTGTCTGTCAATTATTCGGAGCTCAGAGAGCCTACAAAGGAGGTATGGGAAGTGTGCTGTAGCCTTTTCAGCCGCTAAGAATGGTAGCGCTGGGTGCCCTCTGTTCACCAGACCTTCAGTGCCTTCTCTGCGATGCATGGTGGAGCCCTGACTGATGAGCTGCTGGTGTGGGTAGGGTGGGAGAGGGCCGCCAGTCCAGGACAGGGAGGAGTTTGGAAGCAGATGACAGAAAACCCTGCTCACCAGTTAGAACCGGCTCTAACAAAGGCTTGTTTTTGTGATTGTTTGCAGAAAGATTACCACTTTGAATATACAGAGTGTGATAGCACTGGCTCCAGGTGGAGGGTCGCCATTCCGAATTCTGCAGTGGATTGCTCTGGCCTGCCTGACCCAGTGAGAGGCAAAGAATGCAGTATGTTGTGATTTTCTTTTTGACCATTTGTTTTCCAGATGAAACCATAAACTAATCGTATCAGTTCTAGATGCCATTATAATGAACACAAGACGCCTGCCGACAATGTATATGTAGTGTTGATACCTAACACAAACAATAGAGCCTTTCTTAAACATTTTTATTAGTGCTTTTTCTTTATTTTGTGTTTATGTATCTATCTGTATATGCAAGTATGCATGGAGGTGCAGGTGTACCACAGTGTGTGGATGGAGGTCAGAGGCCTGTGTGCGAGAGTTGACTCTCTATATCCACCATGCATGGGTCAGAGGCCTGTGTGTGACAGTTGACTCTATATCCACCATGCATGGGTCAGAGGCCTGTGTGCGAGAGTTGACTCTCTATATCCACCATGCATGGGTCAGAGGCCTGTGTGCGACAGTTGACTCTATATCCACCATGCATGGGTCAGAGGCCTGTGTGCGAGAGTTGACTCTCTATATCCACCATGTATGGGTCAGAGGCCTGCGTGCGAGAGTTGACTCTCTATTTCCGCCATGTAGCTCCTGGGTATGAACTCCGGTCATCAGACTTGCCAGTAGGTGTCTTTACTCATTGGGTCTGTCTCAAGACTTCATGTCTTTCTGTCTGAAGTGCTTAATGAATCATGGGCAATGCTAAAGGATGCTATTTCTTTTTAAATGTTTTCTCTTTTTTGAAATTATTGAGAGAAGAGTGACAGACTTTCTTTTTGAGTTTAAAATAAGTACTTTTGAACTGGATAAAGCACGCAGCACTTAGAATTCCTCTTTGAGTGATAACTTTTGAGTTGTTTTAAGTGTATTCATATTTTTTTTTTGCCATTCATCATCACCACTGTCCACAGATCTCCTTTTGCACTGGATTCCTTTTTGTTAGCCACAGAAATAGTTTCATTATATTAAGTGTAACTTGTTGATAGACTGTAGGATTCCTAACATTACCTACAATATCTTGTCATTTGGAAATTAGAAGACTTGAAAATTGGCCTTTAAAGTTAACAGGGATAGGTGCCATCAAAGTCATCGAATTTATTTTTATTTACCAACTACCTTCTAAAAACTTTTAGTTTGGTTAGTTGGAAGTTTTTGCAGTGAAATAGACCAGTCATAGCCCTGGGTTCTAGAACTGGCAGAGAAATTAATTTTCTTGTGGTCTTCCAAAAGTTATTTGTAGAAAGCTTCTATTTCCAAGTGAATGAAATGGGTAAGCGAGTGAGTGATATGGGTAAAGATGCCTTCTTCTTCATACAGTGTGTGTGCTACAAGTTAGAAAAAGCTAAGCATCACAGTAAACACCGTGTAGACTGTAGTAGTTCAATGGATGAAGAAAATCATCATTGGTTCTTGGTGACTGATTTTAAAGAGAAAACCCGAGAGTTCCCATGGTCATGTGATCTATCAAGAGTCAGAGAGAGACGGTGGGGTCAAGGGAGAAGTAGGTGCCTCCAGACTGGCATGTTGACAGTCACCAGCGCACAGGACCTGTTCTCAGTGAGAAGAGAATGCCGTCAAAGGGAAAGAGCCTGAGTAACAGAGCTGCAGTGGGCCTGTTGCAAATTTCTTTCCTAGAACATCTGTTTTGGTTTTGCCCAGTACCTTTTCACCCTGGGGCTTACCTCCTTGATTCCTTGTAACCAGCCTTATTTATAGAGACTATGTAACTATTCTAAATACTCACTCTATGGATAGGAAGTGTGATAGTTTGGGCTAGCTCTAGCTGTCAAGGTTAAAATGAACTATAGGAGGAGTCTACATCATGGGAATTGGTAGCCATTCTAAACCAGGGCTTTCTTCTTCTGGAAGTCATATTTTTAGTATTTATCAGGATGCTGTGAGTTACATGCATTAGTCAAGGGCTCCTAATTTTGCTAGAAATTCATGCCTAAATAGGAATGGTTTCTATTTGAATGTTAAAGACATTTTCCAGTCAACAGTTTCATAACATTCCATAGGTAAAGTTTTGATTTTGCTTCTTGAACAAGAAACATTTTCCAAAGCTCTAATAGTGAATTTTCTTTTAAGCATAATATACCTTGAAACTGATACTTACTTTGAAAAAATACATGGTAGGTAGAACATTTTTATATTAGCTTTTGGTCTGAAATATGAAGTTATCAGTGCTCCCACGTCACATGTATGTATATTTGTCTTCTGGCAGCTATTGGTCTGGCCTTAGATTTTTTTTGCTTTTACTTTGCTATGGTAGAAGCAGGTTACTTCAAAGCTCAAAATTAACATAGAAGCACAGTTATATCATATTGTACACATTGCTTTCACATTCCAGTCTTCAGTGGGTGTTTCTATTGCTGATCATAACTACCATTGCTTATTCTGATCTTGTGACAGCCATGGTACTTAGAACTGGGTGTCATTATTCCATCCCGTCCTTGATGTCTCTGGAATATTTACATATGCAAATGAGATATCTTGTGAATGGGACCCAAATCTAAACACCTAATTCATTTGTGTTTCATATACACCTTGCATACCTCACCTACAAATACTTTTATGTAACACTAAAAATTATTTGCATTAATCAAAAAATTATTTGTTATAGGAAACAAAGCTGTAGAACTTTCTCCTTGTGGTATAATGTCAGTGTACATGTCAGATTTGGGAGAATTTAGGTTTTTCAGATTAGGAGTGTATCAGATGTAATAATCCTCTCTTACTGGAGGGAAAACACAGGCTCAAAGTAACTGCCCCCAGGTCTGACAGTGGCAGGTCTGAGACTCCACTGCACATATACTTGACTCCAGAGCCAGCATCTCTTCACTGAGGATGTGGTCAGGGTTCTTTCTTCTCTGTTGGCACCCAGAAGTTGGCTCAGACAGAAAAAAAAGATTAAAAAGGGGAACAAGGCAACTTCAAGTAAGTTAAGGGGATTTAGGGCAGCGGTTGTGTAGGATACGATTTTCTCAGATCCTAGTGTTTCTAAATAGCAAACCCAGATTTTGGCCTTTGTTAAAACTGCTATAGGTTCTTCCAAGTGAAACCGCATAGATCTTCTCCTGTTTAAAAAAGGGGGCAGCAGGCGAGGCCTTTCCTGAGGAATATTCATGCATCAACTGTAAACTGTTCCAGAAAATTGGGTTAACTCCACTATACATTTGCTTTGCAGAAAGCATGTGGGTTGAAGTAGCAAGGCTCCACCAAGAGAGGTTAAGAAGTGGTCATATATCACTTTGTTATGTTGACTCCCTGGGGTATATGTGATTCCAAAGCTGCAGGGCTCTGGAAAGGCAGGGACAGACCTCTGCTAGTGAGCTAGCTTCAGCTTGTGTTGTGCCTGTTGCAGTGGAGAGCTGGTCGGTTTCCTAGTACTGCACACGACAGGGAAGTGACTTCATGGCTCTGCATTCCCCTGAAAGCTCCTGCTCCCTCAATGCAAATTCGGCTGCTTCTCCTAAGGCCCTGGCTCAATGCCTGTTACCTGTAGGCATAATCCACCACCAGGGTCTTTCAGGTAGCACGCCATTCCTGAACCACTGCAGTCTCTATCCCAATCATAGAATAAGAGGCGGTAGGTAGCCCTTTCTAATCTGTTGGCTCATTTTCCTCTTTTATCCGTGAGGCAGCAGAATTTCTAAAGTATTTCTTAAACCTTGGGGTGCCTTTAATGGTCTTAGATTGTCAGAAATAGTGGTTACCTTTGAGCAATTTCCTACTGCAACCGCACAGCCTGCAGACAGGGGCCTTTTGGCTTCAAACCAAGCCTTAGAAGTGAAGAGTGGGGGTCTGGCTCTCCTGGGAGATGGGACAGAAAAGAAAGTTCCTTTGCCTTTCCATATTTTTAAACAGGTCTAAACCACTGAGGAAGAAATGAACACATCTGTTTCTTTAACATTCTCATGCTTTTCGGTGGGGAGGGCATACATCATTTATTCCTTACTCTTTCAAATATTTCCAAACCCATAATTTCTAGAGGAGTCTTAACGACATCATTTTCTAATCGAGGATGATTATTTAAGATATTTCCTTTAGATTGTAGCCAGCAAATCAAATTTGTCTTGTGAACTTTGTTTAATCTTGTGCTTCAGTATTGATATTATATGTCAATCAGTGGCACATAGAACATATGTAACCAAATGCACATGCAAATATGTATAGAAAGATGCATCATATAAGTAGTAAACACATATTCCTTTTGTATTTCTCAGATAGGAGCTAAGGGATTAATCTGGCTTTAATGCCATATGACTTTTATACGAGTATGCATACATATGCCAATATTTTGATCTTTCAATGATTTGTTGTGATTTAATACTCATTTTACTTGGATCAATAAATGCCATGGACAGATGAGCTTTACAGATCTTTGGGTGCATACTTTTCACATGTTTCTCTCAAATCTATTTTAAGATTCATATTTAATGGTTTATAAGAAATACTCAGAACTATATTAGACAGATATTCACTTGTAGAGAGAGGCAAAGGGAAAATTACAACATAATTATACGCGTCAATACAATCAAAAGATGGAAAATTATAAATATGCTCAATATCTGAGCACATAAGTATATAAAGCAAACATTGACATATTTGAAGACATAAATATAAACAATACAATAATATTAGGAAACTTCTGTATCCCATTTATAGTAATGAAAGACCATCCTGAAAGGAAACCATTAGAGAAAAAGTCTTATAGGCTAGATGGACTTAACAGATATTCGAGGAGTGTTTTGTTCAATTGCATCATGATACATGTGCAGAGGCATGAAGACTTCAGTACCTAACTGAGAAAACACAAGCCCCATGTTCAGAGAGACATCTATTCAACGGGGTAAAGCAGAGACAGAAAGAGAATACCTCATGCCTCCTTCTGGCTTCCATGTATGAATAAAGACACATGCACTGCACATAGAAACATGCAAATTTATACATACATATGTACATCTCTTAAGAAATGAATAGAGGGCCAGGTATGCATGTATGTGACACCAGTATTTGGGAGGCTGAACCAGGCAGGTTTCCATG